GTGAATGATGAGAATAATGAAAGGGATGATGAAGAGGAAAACATTGAGATTGAATTAGATGAACATGTCACCAATGTAGAAGACTCTATTTAGGGAATGGACTCTCCTCCATGCATGAAAAAGCACATTCGATTCTCATCCACTTTTTCATACACTTTTTCATACACTCCATGTCTCATTGATGTATCATTCTTATCTCAACGGTAAATTTTTGGATGAAAATTAAAAGATCTATCAGTATCTTGGGATACGAGATTTTTACGGCGCAAATCTCTTCAATCATGATTACATAAAAGGGAATAAACTTTTTGGTATAAATTGGGAATACTCCTTCCTAGGTCACTTTTACAAGCTATTCAAGCAATTGGGTATTTCCTCTCTTTTTCGAAAAATGCTCTCTCAAAAAACATCTTCCTCAAGATTTCACCATGTTAAAGCCTCTATACTAGTTTGCCCCCAGCGTTAATATTGTCAAAGGTCTTCATGCCCCTGACTCTCCCATCGTAGCAGTTCGTAAACTCATGAATTGAAGATTTCGTCGACTATGTCAAGAGGTGTCCTCTTCGATATGCCTTCTTGACTTCCCATATCCATTCTACCCTAAACAAGTATGTGAGTTCTACTATTCATGCTCTGTTCATTCTGATGCTCAAACCATGACTGAAACCATTGGAGATGGTAAATATAGGGTTACTATTGATGTGGAATCTTTTTGAACTGCTATTCGTCTTCCTCGATCAGAAAATTATTCTGAAACTCCCTCGGAGGAAAGGTGCAAGTCTGTTCATGAATTATTAAGGTACAATTTTAAACTTAAGGTCACCACTCGTGATCGAAACAAATACACTCTTAGTCAGTGTACAACAAAAGACTGGATTTTGCTCAACTTTTTCTTGATCAGGTGATTTATTGTATCACTGGGAACAAAAAGCCAGTATATGTTCCCTATCCCTATTGGATTGGACTGATCTTATCTCGTGAGGAAGGATATGTTGAAAGTCATGGGATTATTATTCCAATTCCTGCCCTCTCCTCAAATATTATTAATGTTGCTCCACCTGAAGATGATTTTCTTATTACTGAAAAGATGCAAAAAATGGATTGAAAAACCTTACGTTGTTGAATCCTCTGACTCTGAAGAAGTGAATGATGAGAATAATGAAAGGGATGATGAAGAGGAAGACATTGAGATTGAAGTAGATGAACATGTCACCAATGTAGAAGACTCTATTTAGGGAATGGACTCTCCTCCATGCATGAAAAAGCACATTCGATTCTCATCCACTTTTTCATACACTCCATCTACAGGTGATGCTGCACAACGTGGATCAACTCCACCTTTAGTGGCTACTAATGAACCACTAATCTAAGACGAGGCCTCTCCAAGACCAGCATTTCCTTCTACTCAAGAATGTTTGTCTGATGCCAATACCTATTCAGATTGCTACTGTTTATCAGGGGGAATCCAACTCCAACTTTGAAACAACTGTACTTTCTCAACTTGCTCCGCTGGTGCAATTAATTCAGTCTTTGGGAAGAAGATGATCTAATGTTGAAAAAGATGTTGCTGAGATGAAGTGATTTATGTCATTGGGTGATGATGATACTGATGATATGGTTATTGATGACTCTCCTCAAAACTCTCCAAGTGATAATGCTCTTCCACCTCCACCTCCTTCATCAAATCCTCCTCCACATCCTCAACCATCTAATTCTCCTCCTCGAACTTCGTCACCACCTTCTGGTTCTCCTCCCTAATCTGATGCTGCCGAAAAGGAGGAGAGTAGTCAAGAGAGTCATGATCAGCAAAGCAAATGTTGGTAATTACACCAACTCCATCTCAGCCTGAGATGCCTGAAATTGGAAGAGTTGAAGCTGACCTCCAAAAGGAAACTGTTTTTGTTAAAATTATAGACATTGATGTAACAACTGATGATCAGCCCATTCCAGACACTGGTGATCAATCAGAAACCGATGACTATGAAGGGTTTCTTCATCTAGGATTCATGCCACCGGATGTTGTTCCTGTTGTTCCTGTGAACGTCCTCTACCTTGATTCATACTTTAAGGGGGAGATTCCTCAAGGAACTAACAGTGACATTGATGCTGATCAGCTCAATCCTCGAAAAAGGAAGGATTCATCCTCAGGGGCGAGCTCATGACGATGAAGCTGGAAGTTCTACTGCTGGTGATCCTTCAACACCTCCTCTTTCCAAGAAAAGCAAGCTCATTTTTCATTTGAATAAATTGGCTAAAATATGGAGTTTAACTGTTGATGAAGTAAGTGAGATCATAATAGAGAATAATGTTGTTATTCGGAAAAAGAAATAATCCAGAAAAAGGTAAATGTCTGTCTGCGAAATTTGCTCAAGCTCTTGCTTCCACTGAAGAAAGTGTTGATGTTCAAAGCACTAATGATCATGTCAAGAAAATTCAACTCTTCAAAAATAGTGTGGAGAAACAACATAGGGTTTCAGAGCTGAATGACCGGATTGACAGAAAGAAATTTGGAGACGTTCTCGTAGAGTAAAGCATGATCCCATTATCATTATAAGATGTACCAAACCAAGGAATGAGTCTCTGAAGCTTCACTTGGCCAGAAGACGAAATATGAATACACTGAGGTTGTATTTGCTTGTGAGCTAGTCAAATTTGGTATAACGAGTGGATGAAAATTCAAAAAATTATTGACAAATACAAGGGTATTCATGCTCAGGAGGTGAAATTTGCAATTCAGCAGCTACTCTACAAAGTCAAGAAGCTGAACCTTGTGTCGTCGGCTGGTCCATCTAGACCATCCTCCTCAAGAAGAACAGGCACTTCCAGACAGTCTAAGAATACCACGTTTCTTCCTCCTTATGGCACTAGGTACATTCACAACGAACTGCCAATAGGTGTTGAACCAGTCCAGTACATGTTCATTCGAGAAACGGAACATGGTGTCTTTTATCTTGACAATCAAAATCACATGTGTTTTCAATGCGCTGATGATCTTCTGGTTGCTCCCATTGAACACTTGTTTCATCTTCGTATGGAAGGACTTAGTCATTTTGAATTGGAAAGAGGATATCATGTGCTGATCTCTCTGGAGCTTAGTAGAAGATTGGATGAACTTCAAATTGATAAATTCAGATGAGTTAAGCCTAAGATCTTGAAAGAAATTGAAAAGTTCTACAATGGTTCTTCTGATGACTCTGAAGAAGAAGATTAGTTTTGAAATCATCATATAGGGGGAGATTGTAAGGTGTCACCTTATGATCTGATAAGTTAAACTCTTTACATACTATCTGTCAGCGTTATCATATACATCACCATCAGCGCCAACGTATAAAGTCTATCGACGTCAGCGTGAAGATAGTTTATTCTATGTAATCTTTTGTATATTAGGTAATGATACACATAAGTATAGAATAGATACCAGATCCAATATCTTGTTATAAAGATCAGTTCTTAGTATAAATAAGATACAATCCCTTCAATTAAAGGATATACTTGTATAGACTAGTATATATTCAACATTATGGTAAAAACCTAATGTATCTCTACGGCTTGGTGTCGTTGATCATCTTTGTGACCGTCCTTGTGACAAACTCGTTTTCTTGGTGAAAAAAAAGCTCTTTCTTGACAATCTGGAGAATATCTTGTGCTCTTTACTTTCTGTTTTTTATTTGTTTAGATTAGTTTGCTTTTGTTCTTTATACTTGAAGTGTATCTGATATTTACAAACCTTCACTAGACTAGACTACAATCTCTGTATTCAACATCCAATACCAACTCTGTTTAGGCAACATTATCCTAATTCAATGTATATATTTAACACAAAGTATTATCTGTAATAATACTTCTACTATTATTATCATGTAATATATATATATATATATATATATATATATATATATATATATATATATATATATATATATATAAAAGCACATATGGAACCATATCTGGTTCACATAATGTATGTCATCAAATATACATCTAATACATATTCTAGTCAATAAGCATATAATTCATAAATTTCAACGAATATTTAATACTTTTAATCATGGTTTTGAAAACCGGACAAGACCGGCCGGTTGAACCGGGAACCGGTGCGGAGACTGGTTTTTTAAGGCCCAAAAACCGCCATGTAACCAAACTGGAAAAAACCAGCGGTTTAATAAAAACCGGACTAAAACCGGTCTGGTCCAACCGGACAAAAAACCAACTTACTCAAAGAACTGATTATAAATTTTTAACTGCAAGTAGAGGTGCCCACGCTTTAATGCACGAGACACATTTTTGCATTGACTGACTCTTGAGTAGGGGTGTAAGTGAGCTGAGCTACTCGTGAGCTACTCGGGATCGACTCGTTAAAAGCTCGACTCGAGATCGAATTAAACGAGCCTGAGCCGAGCTCGAGCCTAAATACGAGGCTCGTTTATTAAACGAGCTCGAGCCGAGCTTCAATTCATGGGCTCGCGAGCCTAATCGAGCATATATATATATATATATATATATATATATATATATATATATATATATATATATATATATGCTCGATTAGGCTCACGAGCCCACTAAATTGTTCACGAGCCGAGCTCGAGCTTCATTTTAAGGCTCGAATCGAGCTCGAGCTTCCTCAAAATTAAACGAGCCGAGCTCGAGCTTGGTCGGGCTCGGCTCGGCTCGTTTACACCCCTACTTGAGGTGCCTTGTCCTTTTATACAGCTCTCAAACCCTCCTACTTTTTTTTTTGGCGATGTGGGATGAAATGAGTAAACAATCACTATTGAGTTTGCATACTCGTCTTCCAACCTTCAATACTAACTAATATTTGTATTATTGTTTTTTTTTTCACTTTTTTGGTTACCTTTCAGATAAAATTTTAAGAGTAGATATAAATTAGTAGAAACTAGGGAAGAATCCCCGCTTTGCGGGGTTGGATGCGCCAAAGAAAACGACATGAAAATGATCTATTAAAGCAGATTTGTCATTTTCGCTTTCATCAAACTAAAAGAAATATAAGCAGAATGTCACTGTAATTTAACACGTTATCCACCGACTTCTTCTGAAGAAAGTCTTTTTGGTATCACCTATATTACATGTAATTTATCAAACGTATGAGATTGAATTCCTGCTACCTTCTCAAGTTTCTTATTGAAATTTGAGTCTTTATCCTCTCCTTTCACACCGGTTTCTCTTTTTGTTCTTCATTTTTCTTATTTACTTGGTTATTCCTCATTAAAATACTTCCTGTAATCATATCGAAACACATCAAAAAAGAATTCAATCTCAGATCTGATTATATGCATCAATAAATATTCATTTTTCTTACATTATTGAGAGGTTGTTGTTGCTTCTCTCCAAGTATATTCAAATACTCAAATGAAAGTATCCATAGTTCCCCGAATCTATGAAACTCGATTCAATTTGTGAAATATAATCTAGTTATTTACCGAACATTTATCCAAGCAGACAAAGCATTAAAGTTCTCGGAAATGTCGCAAGTTTCCAAACCTACGCATTCACAGGAATGAAAACAAAGCCTCATTCAAGAGGAAATCAGATTACCTCATTCAGTCCAAAACACTCAACTCTTTATACCTGGTTGTTGCTTTACATTGCTATCTCCTGTAAAACACAAAACAAAAGGCATTTAAATTTTTTTTTTTCCTTACATAAGACTAGCATTTTTCTATAGGACATTGTAGATAGGACACCCTTATAATCCGTTTTAATGGCATCCTACTTTCCATAAATTAATGTAACTATTATCATTTAAATGGACATATGGACTGTTGACATTATTGTTTGAAGATACAGGAGCCTTGGATTAGTGAGCAGTGTCTGTCACCCCCTATCCCTAGAAAGCCATCTACCGTCTTCTTCACCACTACTATCGTCGAAGCTAAAACCACTGCATGTAAGATCAAATTTATCAATAACCGTTAACATCATATATCATATTTTAAGAACTGAACTGAGATATTAGATTCAAGCATTGAAACATAAAACAGTTATGGAATCAGAGATCAAAATCGAAAAAAAAAAAAAATCATACATGGAGCACGAATTGAATGTTGAAATTCAACTTATGTAGATACAATTGATATCAAACTAACAAACTTGAAATCAAAAGCTCAGTCACACAAATTTATTAAGCAAACCTTGAAATCAGAGAAAGAAAATGATACGGAGCAATTGAAAATGAACTTAACTGAGACTACCAGAGGTTAGATTGATAATAGATGGCAAAAAGAACAGATTTATTTATAATTAATATATATGAAAATGACAACAAACTTTTAAACATATGCACACTACATATTCTAGATTGATAATAGATGGCAAAAAGAACAGATTTATTTATAATTAATATATATGAAAATGACAACAAACTTTTAAACATATGCACACTACATATTCGATGCTGCTTCTGACCATTATACAGACAGGTATACTTTTTTAGTTACTTACCAGATTTTGAGATTATTAGATTATTGATAGATGTCGCAAAGTTTTATCATACATGTATAACTTTATTCGAGTTTTGACAAATGTAGAAGAGTATTATCAGCAGTGCGGCCCTGTTTAGTTGTAATTATATAGAATAGAATGATCCAATAAGTCATCTGAAATGTGTAAAAGGACGAATTTACCCTCAGATATGTAAAATTATGTAATTACCCTACATGGTATGCTTAAAGGATGTCGATGTCCAGTTGTAGATATTTCCATAAGATCTCGCAGAATATCATCACACCAACCATTACCAACACAACCTAAATCTTTGCAAATTTCTTGTTAATCTCCATAAAGACTGCAAATCTTAAGCAAAAGGTTTATTTTTAATGTCAGAATGTGAGAATATCGAAATCTTGACTCAAGTAACAAACAAATCAATAATGGTCGTTATAAAGTACAAACATGCTGAAGAATAAAACACAAGAAAACAAATCAGGTAAGATAGATTGAAGTCTGAATCCAACTTAGATGAAAAAAGAGTTCAAATACGTATAAAAGGGGAATGAAGAGTCAAAAATAAACTTTCAGCTAGGGCTTCAAATACGAAAAATTGTACCTTTTACAGATGGTGATGATGTAGCTGCCTATGGGAAGACGATTGAACATAACTGGTCTGAGAAATCATGAAGAAATATAAACAAATTGATTTGCTTCTTTATCTCAGTTAACTGTCAATAGCTTGCTTGTGAAGAACACATATTCAGAAAAAACGAAAAGAGAGAAATCACAAATAAAAAAATCACAAACAGTCAAAAACATAAGAAAGATCGACCTAAAATGATAGTCACGATAACAACTTCAGGCCGAATGACTTCCTGATGAGCCTTCACTAAGAGGAGCTGTACGATTGTTGTACGATAAGATCAAAGCCCTAAGACAAATTGGTAAGTCGATTGAATATAAAAACCTAGAAATCGTGCTTTAGATTCTTAAAATCGAACCAAAATAGAAATAGAGACAGTCAATCAAAACCCTAATCGTGGGAGAATTTGAAAACCTGAGATGGAGTTGTCGGCAGCTGATTTGTATGGGCTAAAAAAAATTGGATCAAATACCATTCACCATGTAACCCAGGAAGAAATTGAAAGCGGTGGAAGCAAACGTATGTGATTGGGCATAGGAGGCGGTGAGGAGATGAACGGTGAATGAAACGTGGAAAAATAAGAAGCTGGAGTTGTCATCATCTCTCAATTAAGTATTACTATATAAATTAAATTGAGAAACTACAAAAGATAAAGAAAATAAAAAAAATAAAAAAATTTCAGCCAATTATAACCAAGTCCTGTTCACCAAGGAGTTTAGAATTAATATGTATACTAGGTTACAGCCCGTGGAAACCACGGGTAAGAAACAAAAACATAATGATAATAAAAAATAGTTGTGAAAAATCAAAGATTTATAAAATTTTAATAAATTAATAAGATATAAGTTTTGTTTAGACATTTAATAAAATCATGATTATATGGAACATAATATAAATTTGAATACCTTGTAAAAAAACCAAACGTAAGAAAGTTTTCAAATAAACCAAATTCTCCATTAAATATTAAAAAATTACAAAGGAACAATAAATAAATTCCTATTGAGAAATAAAACCAACACATAAACTTGAACCACTAAAGTAATCCAAGAAATAATAGGTCAACGTAAAATGAAGTTTATAAGCAAAAGATAATATAGGCTAAAAGAAACACAAACATATGATATAACCATTTTTTTTACTCGAAGATAGCCAATAATAAACTTCACACTGTCCCAACCACATCCAAATATTATTCCCAATAATAGGATCTATACGATTTGCCGAACAATAAACAATCACTTATAATTATGGTTGTAATAAAAATGTTGTGAGAATGTTTTCGACAAAGTTGTAACAACAACATACTTATAATTGGTTGAAAATAAAAGTGAGATCCGGTGATTTGTGGCTCTTTTGGTGTAGTTTTGTACACAATCAACTATCGTTCCTTTCAATTTTTGGCTGAAAATACAAGTAAAGTATTAGTATAACATATGATTTAAGCTAAAATCTAAATTAGTAAAAATTACGAAACAAAGCTTTAAAGGAAATAAAAATAATCGATTCACTAAGAAACATCATATTTAATATTTTAATCTACAGTCATAAAGAGAGGGTTTCCCTTTTACTTCTTAGTTCATATAAACAATCATCTAAAGGAGGCATAAGAAATTGTTCAAAAAATAAGACTACATTCTCTAAACAAAGAAAAAGAAGAACAAAATTGGATTGTTTATAAAACTAAAAAGGCTCTACCATGATTTGATTTGATTAGGTTAACCTTGAATTAAACTATATCCAACATAAATTCAGTGAGTAAAACCAAGTCGTCAATATCAATAAGCAACCACAACGTGTCAACAATATTTATATAACAAAAAAATGTTTAAGAGTATCCTTAAGGAAATATACTAAACACCAAGTACCCATATAACATATACCAAACCTCAATAGATATGGAAAGTTGGTAAAAATAATGAAGTAACTTCCTCCATATAATAGAAAGCCAGAGGAAGCTAACAAAGATACATGTGGAAAAGGAGATTTGTGATTTAACTTCCAAGAAAAAATATTAAAATCGAAAGAGCATTCAAACATTTTATAAAGGATGCATAACCTCAAAATAACATCATCGAGACACATATAGGCCTCCACCACATATAAGCTTCCACAACAAACCTATCTAATAAGAAGTCATATAATATAAGTTAAGTGATTAACTTCCCATCATATATTTTCATTGCAAAATAACTTTAACGTAATTAGCATATATTCCGTCATGACAACAGGACATATTTTAACAATCAAAGTACCTCCTTTTTCACGTCAAGCTGTAAAAAATTCGCTACCACGTAGAAACTAATAAAAAAAACTCAACAACTAATTAAAATGGATATAAAACATTATCTATTAAAACACACAAACCTAGAACATTAGTCTTCTTAAACTATTTAAATTACCCAAAAATAGCATCAAAAGGTTCATTTATATTTCTATTTCTTTCATTAGCCTAACTTTAAAAAGGGTTATAATCATTATATCCCAGAAATAACATTCTACTTTCACTTATTTGTTTGTTATAGCATTTTACATTCACTTAAAATTGATAAATTCCAGTTGTACTTCTGGAAGTATTGCCCAAGAAAATTAAACCCACATCAACCCCATCTTGTTTTTGATTGGGTACTTCTATAAAAATATATCAATTGAATAGTTTGAGCCGGTATATGTATTAAATCTAGCATCATTTCCTATAGGTAAACAATTTTCATCTACTACTTTACCAACATCATTTTCTTGCCCTACTTTACCTTTACATACACTTATAAGAGTGAAGCAAATGTAGAGTGAAGAATTGGAGATAATCTTTATTCTAAAACTGATACATGTTTAAACCTTTAAAATAAAGAAAGACAACCTGATGCAAGGGAACAGGAATGGGTCTTCATTCATATGGCTCCTCTGGTGCTTGATGATACTACTTCTTCTCCTATTAAATCCGAATAAATTAAAATGTAGACCCCTCATATTAATGTATATAAATCAAAATCAAAATAAGAATGAATAATTTAAATTGAATTATTTTACATGGAACACAAAGTTTTTATGCCTCTTCAAACCTAACGATTCACAAATGGGAAAATGAATTTGCCATAAAAGGCAAAAAATTAAGTAGAAACTCAAAGAAAAAAATAGATCACTCCAATCCATCTCTTTAAGCATTGGAAATTAAGCTTTTACATAGCACATCAGAAACACCATCTATGAATCCTTGGATGGTTTTTACCTTGGTTCATCACCGACATTTCCTTTTCGTGCATATATAAGAGCATGGTGGCGACGCTTCAGTGAGAAATTTGATGTGAGACCTATTTAGCACCCAACTACTCTAAAAGTATCAAACCTGGAAGAAATCCACATGTAAGTATACTCATAAAGTTGTTGAAATTCTCTTTTCTTGACCAATCATTAGCAATTCTCTCCTTTAATTTCTATAGATTCATCGTTGATGAGTGTAAACTGAAATGAGAAAAATTATAGACATGGAGTGAAAAGAAGGAAGGGCACCTGCACATATGTCGCTCAAAATCTTTACCAATGAAATAACATGCAACACATTCATAAAAGAAACAGGGTTTTGTAAGTTTAATCAAATATCAATCTAGTGCCAAGAGATCCAGTTGTTGACAAAAAATTTCAAAGGAAGAACTTTCTACTTGGAAGTCATTATAAGTTTCTGATTATATGCGATTTTCTCAAGGAAGATGGAGGAATAGAATTCAAATTTTGAAAGCCCTAAAATTAAGATGTTGATTTTATGGACGAATTGTCTTTCCTGATTCAATGGGATTGTAATCAGATTTGAATATTTTTTACGGATCATGTTTATGATTTCATGCACGAGTTTAAAACATAAGGGCAAAATTGGTAATTCACTTTGTAAAAATAGGGGCTTAAGAGATGCCATGTGGCACAAAAGGAGTGTTTTATTAGATAGGAAGATATAATAAGATATTGTTATTTCATTTTAAGATTTCAAAATCCTTTATATATATATATATATATATATATATATATTATATATATATATATATATATATCCGGTTTAACCGGTTTTTTAGACCGGTTGAATTGGTCGAACCAGTTGAACCATCGAACCAGTAAGACGGCCGGTTCGATGTCCGGTCCGGTTTTCAAAACATTGCTTTTAATAAATACTTATATTAAAATCATGTTCATGAAAATAACTATACACTCAACAGATTGAGGTGAAATATCATCGGGAAAGCTAGCTCCTTGGCTGATACTTCAGCTTATCCCTAAATACGAATATTCATATTCTTCCATATTCATTAGTATTTATATAGGTTTTATAACTTTCGTCTAGATTCCTTAGCGATCCCAATGAATAGATCGAGATTTATCAAATAAGGAACAACTAGATAAGATCATATCAGAGGTAGGATCCGTTTGGTATACAGAGTATACAATTTGGAAATTCCAGTTTAAACACCTTATTAGATCCAGCCTAGACATCACTCCCGTAAATAGATCAATCAATATTTTGAACGGTATCACTGATAAATCTTAACTGCAAATTCATAATAACGACTATGAATATAAATATAAGTTACACTTAAAGCATAATAAGTTCAACTTAACTTATAGAGTTTTTAGACGAAAAATTGGAAAGTCGCGGGTAGAATCTCGACCTGAAAGCTCCTTTTCTTCAGTCTCCTAGATACCTTAGAGCCTCGCTAAAGCGGTCAGAAGCTCAGAAAAACTCGGACTCAAGAAGGGAAATGGCTTCAAGAGAAAGATAGTTGGATTCATGAGTAAATAAGGCAATTTCGACTGATATATATATATATATATATATATATATATATATATATATATATATATATATATATGTGTGTGTGTGTGTGTGTGTGTGTGTGTGTGTGTGTGTGTGTGCGTGTGTAATAACTTTCGCATACGAGCTCCGTTTTCTACATTCTTTATTTCCATATGTAGGTATTTCCGAGTACTACAACTTCCCTTTAGATCTCAACACCTAATTCTCACTCTATTTTAAATTCAAATTTTGTATAGAGGTTACACTGTTAAAACCCATGCAAAAATTATAACTCCTTCATACGAACTTCATTCTCGATCGTCTTTAACGAATTTGTATTTACGAGATCTTCAACTCTCGTTTACATTGTTTTGGCTAATAATCATCCAGTTTTAACTCGATTTTTGTGTCGCACATTGTTGTACTATGTCGCACTGAAACTTCGAAAAATATTAACTTGGTCAAACGAAGTCAGATTTAGGCATTCTTTATACCCACATGATCGTTACTACGACTACTACAACTTTCATCAAGATTATTTATCCTTAATAATCTTTAATTTTTAAATCTTTATTTATCGTAATTCGTTAAATTTACGATACAGTTTTATACAAATATTATAAGCCGATAATATTTGCCCATAAAACATGTACGCAATATAACCATCAATTAAATTGTCTAGCCCTAACTTATGGGTGTTACAATTCTCTCACACTTAGAATGATTACGTCCTCGAATCATACAACAACAAAACAGGTCTGGATAATGATCCCTTAAATCTGCTTCCGATCCCCAAGTAATGATTGTTTAT